CTGTAACTCCTGCATTAATAGGGTTTGTAACTCCTGCCTTTATTGCAGAGGTTAATGGTGCATTAATGACCAGCCATAAAGGCTGGAGGTTTTTCCTCTCTCCCCTATACATGTATAAATTGAGACCCTCCTGTCAAGTCTAAAACACACAGAAATTTCCCATATACTGACTCTCTCCCCAAAACAACGATCAAGCCATTTTGCACTGTGACTTGTGTGGGTGATACTCATTTTGTAGTATCACTCCACTACTAAATAGTGGTTCTTAGATTTCGTCAAGCCATGATAGGCCAACGCTAAGCGCAAACGTTGCAGCATAGTAATGAAAAGGTCAAGGCTGACAACGTTGTTATGACTCTAAGAATTTGACGCATCGCTTGTGAGAGCATTGTGTTGAAATTAGACTCTTTAGCCTCATTGTGTTGAAAGAGCCTAGGATAATGCCTAAGGCTCTCGTCCCCTATTTTTAGAAAGTGGATCCATGTTGCGCAGTTTAAGACAAAGTCTTTGAGGATTAACCATTTTTTATAATTTGGTTGACTTTCCATTATGACGCAAAACTGTTATAAAGTTGTGCGTAATTTGGATAGTCATTGTTGAGGCATAAGGCTCGCTAGATACCGAATGGTCGCACCATTGAGGAAAGTGTAGACCATGAGAAGACTTCCTCCTAGGGAGTGAGGTTATTTTGACTTAGGCTATGATTGACATAAGTTCGGAACATTGATTTGTGGACATTGTGACCCGATTTCTCATTAGAGAATTGGATAAGTAGATCCGTAGGGATTTACCTTCTGCTTTTATGATGAAAAGTTAGGAGCGCAAAAAGGTTGCTAGTTCTAATAAATCTTTTACAGCCTAAAGCAGTTATCCAAACAGTGGTTCTTAGATTTCGTCAAGCCATGATAGGCCAACAATGATCAATGAAGACCACTGAGGCATGATCAATGGTCCAAAAAGAAGTTTTTTCCTTACTTAGTCATTATGAGCCAGGAATTTATAAGGTTGTCGCCACCTAGGGTGGGCAGTCCTCTATTTTAGATATGATGGACATGGGTGATGTAATTTATATGCTCGGATGTACGATCCTTAGGGATTGCTTTGGGAGAATTCATGTTTTGTCTTCGATGACTTACATAAGGAATATCCTAGTTGGGCGCATTAAGAATGAACGCAAATTGGTCACCAAAAAAATATCTTTAGAGAGGTTATTGCGCAAGAGGTAGTAATCTTAAATCATTTCATGTGAGGCGCACATGG